CACACACACACACACACAGTCGTTAGCATCAATAACCAAAATCTTCCCGTTCTTTATGAGCTGCTAACTTCCTCCCTGGTCTACACCGATCTCTACTTACATCACAGTTCTACACTTTATTGTGAGAAATCACTTTTCACTGAACGCTAAAATCCAAACTCCTTTTAAAAGCTGTTGTTTGTTCCTCCCGTGTTAGCGCCCTCTGCTGGTCCAGCCTCGTCCTTACGCTCTCTGTAACTCTTCTCTCCTCAGGGCGTCCTGAGGATCCACTTCCTCGAGGCCCAGGACCTGCTGGCTAAAGACAAGTTCCTAGGGGGGCTGATCAAAGGCAAGTCGGACCCGTACGGAGTCCTCCAGATCGGGACCCAGCTCTTCCAGAGCAAAGTCATCCAAGAGACCGTCCACCCAAAATGGAACGAAGTGTACGAGGTGAGTCGGCATCAGTCTGAACCGAAGTGGATATCTTTAATTTCATTTTCATTTTGTCCTCATGCTTGGAAAAGATATATGAACCATACATTAATCTCCACACTGGTACACGTAAAGTAAAGCAGCAGCCCTGTTTGAAAGACGTCTAATATTTCCTCCAGTGATTTCTAATAATCACAAAATATTGGTTACGATTCTGCCCAAATATCTCTATTATAGCACCAGATATTTGCAATATTCTGTCAAATCATTTTTATGTATATATCAGTTTATCCTGAACTTAAATGATTTTATTTCACAACTAGGAAACTTTTATGTATCTTTTATATTACTTAGTCACAGAAAATATGGTGATTTTCAGCAGTGCAGTCTTTTATGATAAATAACTATGGTCTACACATTACAGTTAAAGTGAATCCACTCATACTCACTAAGAAAAAGGCACAAAGCTGGATTTTGTATTGTATGTTTCACCTTAAACTCTCTCTAAACCGCCTTCAAACAGTCCGATCCACTGGATTCATGTCCCTCCGAGCTCATTGATTCCTTTTACTGATGGTTCACATTGTGAAACGATGACGTCAAACTTGAATGGCGGAGAGGAAGAAACGTGTAATGGCTGACAGCTGTGCTGGTCTTTTTATGCAACGTGGCCTTAAATTGTGACATCTGAGTCACACTGGGTTTTATTTTCTTCTGTTTCTACTCAGAGGCATTAAAACAGGCCTGATGCTCAAAACCTATGCAGCCCCCCCCCCCCCCC